ATACTGTGAATCAAGTTCCTGCTGTTACGACTGTTGACTTGCCGACAGTACATCCACCTGCGTTCAACGGCGATACACGAAAATGGGTGAGTTTTAATGACGTTTTTAGTTCGGCCGTCAACAAAGATACACGGCTTGGAAATGTACAAAAATTTCAGTACCTCTGCGCTCACTTTACTGGTGAAGCCGCGCGCACGATTGATGGTTTGCCTTTAACGCACATCAATCATAAACATGTTCTCGACCTGCTGGGGAAACGATATTGTCAACCTCACAAAATAACTAATGCACATATGAAGATATTTTGGGATCTGGCAAAACCGAACACAACAGCCTCAGAAGATTTTACGACGATTGGGAAACAAATATACGTGGTCCCGAATTACTGGGGAAAACAGAAGCGTCTTATGGGATTTATTGGTACCCATCATATTAGAGAAACTGCCAGGCAAATGTCACGAGAATATGGAGATAAAAAGCGGGATTTTGCCGAACTACTACGAGCACTTCTCAGAGAAATAGAAGCTCTACAAGCCGGTTTTTCAATCGAAGAACTCGATTGTGAAATGCGATCAGAAACTGCCTGATCGACTCCGGCAAAGAAACCGAAATTATGCACGTACTGTACAATGATTGTATACTGGTAACTGAATATAACAAGCGACAAGACATAGTCAAACAGGCCAGACTTTGTTCTAATTGCCTTGAAAACCACCATGTTTCTGATTGTAAATCGAGAATTACTTGTCTTCGATGTGGGCGGAAACACCAAACCTTGCTATGTACAACGGACCCGAAACCCCTGGCAATGACTTGACGTGCATACCATAGTACGCGATTTAATACAACCTCATCGACTCAAACACACGTCAACTTTACGAGAACTGAATATACTCCACGCGATTATCAGAATGAGCCAGTTCTGCAAAAAACCTCAGTTGCAAAGTTTTCATGAACTCGGATTCAATAAACGCGACTATATTGTTTGACGAAGGCACTACACGTTCGTTCATCACGCGACATCTGGCCGGCAAACTCAATATTAAACCCGATACCGGCCCACAAATACTTGCATTCGATGTAGCAACGTTCACACTTCAAACCAACACAATTGGATTCGCTTAAAATGTGCTACTGTAATGGTTTGTTTTCACAAAAATATTTTATTTGGTCGTTTTAGATTTTTTTTTTAAATTTCTTGCATTGATATCAGAAATGAGGAAATTAAGAACAATACTACCCTACTGTAGCACATTTTAAGCGAATCCAATTATCCCGAAATAGACGGATCTCGAACTATCACCGCTCCCATCGTTCTCAAGATCTCCACTCCAATTTCTAATCTGAGCAACCGCCCGATTTTTAATTTGCCACACTTAAAACTTGCACATTCGCTGTCAAACGTGAACTCGTTCGAACTGTCTGTGTTAATAAGGATTGACTACTATTGCAACTTTATTGAAGACCGTGTAATTCGTGGTAGCAGTCCTACTGCTGTGTGTTCGAACTTCCGGCCCTACAGGTATGGGAATTATGTCTGACATTAATACCACCATGTTACACGTCGCCACCAGCACATGTGAAGAAGAAAGTCAACTTCAAAACATTAAATTCCTTACCCAACTTATGTAGTTATATCTCTTGTACATACTACGCTTGTAGCACGTACACTCACTTACATTTTATTATTTAATTAGACTTAACGTTCGATTTCATGAATGATATTATGAATTAGCAAATTCACAGTTCATGATTTTGATAGGTAAGCGAGTATTCATATTAGAGAAGATGACATCACAGTAGTTTTTGAGCTTTGATAGTGGACATTACAGTAGATAATATATCTTTGTATGGTGTAAATTGGTACCTAATACAAGCAAAACAGGACATTCAATTTCTCTTTAATACACACAATTATATAATTCATGGACGATTTGTTATTTGTCTGTAAGCAGAAAACTGAGAAAATGTTGGTGTTCAAAAGATAACAGTGAAAATAAAGTGCACACAAGTGCAACTGCTTCTACTTGGACTAGCTTAAATTGTAAAATTATATGAGTATGACCACATAGTCGTTTTTTGTTCGCATTCAGATCGGGCGTTAATTACATTTATATATACCAATTACATGATTACATCATGCAATTTAACTACCACAATACATATCTAAATAAACGCTGCCATACCGCTTCACTGTGTGCTAGGCCTAGTATCGGAATCAGATATTAATCAAAAGCACAATCCAGTAAATAACACAATGACCTGAAACTATTCGATTCCCGTATCACTAATGTGTGTGTGTTTTTGTTCTTA